ACTGTGGAACAACCTGATGTATTTGTTCTCTGGATGGAGAAAACTGAAATTTCTCAGGCTTTTTATTTGTCTCGTTTCATAAGCACTTCACCCATTCTTAAATAAAAATGAGATGTCTGCATAGACCATGAGCACTTTCACACTGTACAGTTTTCTCCTGAAAAGCAAACTTTTTCTGCTCTGAAGAATGTGGGTTTTTGCTGGGCACATCAATTTGCACATTCTCCCCACTGGCACTGTCCTTTATCCTCTGCTTCCAGGTCACCGTGGCACTGCATTGGAGTCTGCAGGAACAGGGACTGTTTCATGATTTGTAGCACCTACAAAAGTGAGATTTTAATCTAAACACACATCCCTAGTCCATAAATACAATAAATTGGCATAATGAAAATGGATAACTGGGAGAGCATTTCATTGTGGAAATAGTACCTAATATGGGAATAATTCCTAACTCCTCAGGGTTTCAATGCTCCTTTCTGCTTTGCTTTGAGCACTCAAAAGCATGCTCACAACAAGATGGTTTGTGTTAGGAATTATGACATTTGCTTAATTAAATTTCAAAAATATCTAAGTGGCAGCCCTACTGGGCCAGAGTCAAGAACTTTTCCATGTTTTGTGGTGCTCAGGCAATGCTGTTTGTTGGTGACTACTGAGTTTTCAGTTTATACTCTCAACAACACATTGCTGATGGCAAATATGATCTGACTCTTTGATCTGGAAGCCTTACCAATACAAATCTGTCTATAACTTAGCTATGCTACTCTAGCCAAAGAGAAAGCAGCATTAACTAATAATTCTGTAGCTATGTGGATGACTTTTATTAATGATATAACCAGGTATTTTATTAATGTTGCAGTCCCTGAGAGCAAATGCTCATAACCCGGATTATGCTGCATTGGACTCTCAGCAAGGAACAGGACATACATGCTACAAAGCCGTTGACTGCAAGAAAAAATAGATGGATATAGATAGGATCATGTAGGGCCAGGAGCAGGTATGGGTACGAGGCCCTGCTAGCAGAACTGAGCAGTGGGGACAGTGTCTCATCTTGCATGGAGCTGTCACCACGATAAAGTCAACCTGTCTCAAAACTGTGCCCATGAAGAAAAAGAGACAGGTCATTGCCATGGAAGACTCCCTTCTGAAGGGAGAAGAAGGCCCCATATGCTGTCTGGAACCACTTCTGAGGGAGGTGTGCTGCCTGTCTGGGACATGGGTTTAAGAAGTGAAGAGAAAGGTTCTTGCCCTTGGGTTGCTCTCCACTATTAGTTTTCTGGTAGGCAGCAATGAAGTTGCACCAGGAAGTCCAAAGGCAATCAGGAGGCACTTCGCAGCTTTGGGACAATTGGTTAAGGGATCTGGACCATAGGCAGTGTTCTCCCTTATCCTACCAGTTGCAGGGGATGATAAGAAAAGAAATAGGAAGAGACAACAGATCAATACCTGTCTCTGAGCCCAGTGTCACCCACAGCGTTTGGGGGATTTTGATCATGGGTCAGTTTACATGACAGCAGGGCCACTGGTCAAAGATGGGGCGTACCTGTGTCAGAGGAAGAAAAGGATCTTTGCCCTGAATACTTGGAAAAATTTGTTCACCAAGGGGATTGTCAAGCATTGGAACAGGCTGCCTAGGGAAGTAATGGAGTCCCTGTTCCTGGAGGTATTCAAAAGACATGTAGCTGTGGCACTGAGGGACATGGTTTAGTGGTGCACTTGGAACTGCTGGGTTACCAATTGGACCCAATGCTGTTATAACTCTTTTCCAACATAAATGATTCTATGATTCTATGTCTGCATTCTGGCCTATCCATGTGCCTTTAAAATCAATACTCAAGATCCTTTCGGTCAGCAGATCAGAACAGGGTTGTCTTTTAAGCAGTAGCAAATGTTCAGATACCAAAAACGCCATGTAAATCCGTGTGTACGTACAAAATGTTGTCGGTTCCTGGCACTTACCAGGTACTCCTGCAGCTCCAGAGCATGCATAAAGCCCCATACATGTAGCAGCTTCCCCAGACCTCATGTCAGTCTCCCTGAAACTTGAAAATGTGGTACATGCAGGTGTACTTTGTAATGGCAGCACATTTCAGCAAGGCGCAGTGTTTGGTGCTAGAGCAGCTCTGAAGGAACTGTAGCTGCTCTGTGCCACCTTTCACTGATGCTACCTTTGCTTCTGTCTCCATTCAATCTGTTTTAATTAGCTTCATCATAGCCACCACAATACTGCTGCTGCAGAGCTCCCCAGAATGTCTGGCCCTGTCAGTACCTGGCACAGTGAGCAGAGGTTGTAGGGCTGCTGTCTGCCACGAGGAGAGCTCACAGAGCTGCTGGGACCAAGTCATCATGGGCTGAATGCAGTTTGGGGTGAAAAGACTAGCACAGGCACTCGGCTGCCAGAACACTCATGGGTGGAGATGAGCCCTGAGGCAACACTTTTGTGCCAGGTCTTCACTTTGAGGATTGGATCTGGCCTTGAGGGCATCTCAGAGCCCTGGGAGGCTTTGAGGGTGGTAGTGGGGCTGTGTATGGGTGTGCTGTTGATGTATTATGGAATTCAGAGGGCAAAAGCTTGGTCAAAGAAACAGCAGTTAGTCCAGAGGTGCCCAAAACTGAAGAGGGCAGATGGAGCAAGTAACCCAGATGTATCCAACTGGACAAAATGAGTTGTATATAAACAGTCTCAAACTGTTTACAAAGTCCAAAAGAAAGAGGAATACAAAAGATTATTTTTTTTCTCTGTGAGAGCAGAGGACACATGCTGGTTCTTTGTCCCTTCCACCATTGTTGGAGAGCTTGTTGCTGGTGATGACATAGTCTGTGCCTGTGGTGTTTTGGAGTGTGGGGCTCCACATGTTACACAAGCGCTTCCATTGGTCACCCAGCCATTTCTGCAGTCTCTGCAGATACATCAGGAGAAGCAGAACAACTACAGGCACCCGTTCATTTGACTTCTTTCTCTTCTGCCCCTCTCCTTGTATCAGAGCACCAAATCCTCCTCTGCCCTGGAGCAATCAGTCATTAACAACGACCTTGCTACTGCCAGGGCTCTTCTCAAGCCACTGAAGTCAAGATGACTTCTGGGAAAGAGAAAGCAAGTTAGATTTTCATCTGCTGCAAAAAGGAAAAAAAGACCATTTTAAAACTCTCTGGGTTTTTTTTTTTACCCCATACCCATGCAGGACAGCAGGGTAAGGCTGCAGCACTGCAGAGAGATGGCTTATCAGAAGCTTGTCTGCCATGATAAGTAAATAAAAACTCAGCAACTAGATCCTTTTTTCCCAAGAGAGGGGGAAGTTGGCAGAGGACATTCAGAGAATGCAAAGGGCTAGTAAACATTGCAAAGATTGGAGTTGCATGGAGTTGCAGATCTCTGGCTAGAGAGAGAAATTGTTTCAGGCAGCCAGAGGATGCTGCATGATCTCTCTGTTAGCAGAAAAGGAGCCTGCTGAAGTGTCTGTGGTGTGCATGAGTGGAAGCAGCAATAAACTGTGCCAGGATCCTCAAGTGAACAGAACCTGCTGCCAGGAGACATGGTCTGGGTTAGTTGATGACAAGCAGAATTCCCAGCAACAATTGCCTCCTACCCTGGGATATCTCTTCTTCTACTATTTAGTTCTGAGTGAAGCAATTGGACTGTCAACACTCATGGTTAGACCATGCTCACAGGACCACAAGCCATGGTTCTGCAGCAAAGTGGAGACTAGAGGTGGACACAACACATTGCTGCCTGTGGGAGAAGGAGGAGTAGAGACGGACTACCATTTCTTAACCTTCTCTGCTAGCTTCTTGGAAAGAAGACTGCAGGACCAGCTCCTTAGTTGGCATAAAAAGACATGTATCCATGGAGCTGAAGAGTGTTCATTTCCTTCACTAGGAAAATAATAGAAACACAAAAATGTTTGGAAAAGTCCTGTGAAGGCCCAAGGTCATCCAGGCTCCTGCTTAGCACAGGACTATCACATTACATCAAGTCAGCTTTGGCATTGTGTAGCCAAGTCATGAAAGCCTCCAATGATGGAGAATGCACACTCTCCCTCTCTGGGACATGTTTTCTGCTAACGTCCATTCTCTTCTCCCAAGCTCCAGCCTGGGTTTGTTGCCCCCCGTTTGTCCACCTGTTGCTTGCAGGATGGATTGGGGTCGGTCCATCTCCTCCTGAGGGAGGTGTGATTGGCAATAGGGTCCTGTTGGATCACCCCTCCACCTCCCTGTCTCTGGACTGAACCCACCCAGCTCGCTCAGCCCCTGCTCCTAGCTCGTACACTGTGCCCCAGCAGTCTCAGACCCCTCTGACTGGCTCTGCTCACACTGAGGGGTCCAGAGCAGCCGGAACATCACCCATGGCCTCTGTGGAACAGAGGCTTCCCTCTCCCTGCCAGCTGCATGCCTCCTCCTGCAGTCTGCCAGGCACTTCGTCCTGCTGGCAATGCCAGTACACGCTGGGCTCAGACAAGGTGGGACCTGTAATTATAGCAACATGAAAAGCAGCAGAGGTCTCATTCACTGCATGGAAATAGTACAGTAAGCAAACAGATTTAAAATCCAATTTCATAGACACAGAGATTACATTAATCTCTTTTAATAGCTAAACAATTCCATTTTCAAGACAGGACAAAGTATGGGGATATTCTTGACAAAACTGGTGCTTCAAAGGTGCCTACATCAGATTTCCAATCCTAACTCCTAAACTGCTAATGGTAGAACCGATTGTATCTTTTCATACAGTAGTGCTACAAAACTTGCTTTTAATCTCCTCTTTTTGTAACACGCTGTAGCTGCCTGGGCTTGCCTGTGGGAAGCAAATGTAGATTGTCTTTGCCTTCAACCATGTGAGGAAACTTACCCAGCCCTCACCAACTGATCTTGGGGGCCTGTGGAACAATAAAAGCCCAAGTTATCAAAGTATCTGTAAACTGGCTTCTGATTTCTAGCTGGAGTACCTCCCTGAATCTGGACCCTTTGATTTAAGGTAGCTGCTTTCTTTCACCATGTCTCAACAGGCAGGAAAGAGCATAGCTTTAATTCCTGTTGGCTCAGTCACATTTGCTCAACATGACTGAAAACCCCCTTCACCTCTAGAAATGCAAAAGTGAATGTGGATCTACATTGGAATCTTCTGCCCTTGTAGTAAGTACTGTGTAATATGCATGGATGTTTCTATACTGCCAAAAATATTGGTGTAAAATGCTTTTCTTGTTGACACTGTTTTGCTTGGAGAATCCAAGTTATCTGTCCCAGGGAAGGCACTATTCATTGAACTAGATTGCATGTTTTTAGAGAATTTTCAGGTCTTGTAGTCTAGCCATATCCATCTTGGGTTGATTTCTAGTGTTTGTGTTGTGATTTAGGGCTCTGACAAATGAGCTCTAACAAGTGATGGTGAGGTGACTGAAGAGGACCCACCCAGCTGCTCTTACGGCTCCGCTGGCAGAGATTACAGTCCCTGCAGTGGAGCTGGCAGAAGACAACATTTGTCCAGGGCAAAGCTGCTCCAAATGGCATTGGAGTTGAAATCTCCAAGGAGGTGGGCTTATACTAAACAGAAGACTGTGAACTAGACATACTGAGATGTTGTCCATAATGGTTTGTGCCCACCTAGAACAGCTCTGCTTCAGTGCCTCAAGTCCTAACAGATCCTGCCTCATATTCCTGTCTCTTCCTTTACACCAGAACTGGCAGTCATCTGATGCTAATACAAAATTATATAGAGACTTCAAGCCAGCCAAATTTTCTTCTCATTCACCCAGAAGGTGTGGAGGGGACTGAAACACCACCAACTTCTATCAGATTAATCATGGTAACCTGTTTCTCAGGTAGCAGTGAAAGTGTTCCTGGATCTCAGTGCCACTCTACCCTGTGGTCACAGGGTGATGTCAAGGAACAGCAGGTGACAGTGTCTTCATCTGTTCATTTGTTTTCCACCCAGACAACAATCTGGGGCCAGAGCCTTCCCCTGATGCTCCTGCATGGCCAGCTAGCAAGGCTCTGCTGCCAGGGAAGTCCCTTCTGTCCTGTTCTGCTAGAGGGGTAACGTGCTGTAGTGGTGGCCTGGCTGTCAGGAATGGAGCTGGCATGAGCAGTTGTTTCTTTCCCCTCCTGACTCAGGGGGTGTCTGGCCAGAGACTGCCCTTGCACCCCCATGCAGCAGCAAGCAGGAACCACAGCAGGAGAGTCAGGACTGACTGACCTGAGCACTATTTCCTGGCTAAATTACATAAGAGTTTTCCTCTCCCTGGCCCATTACTAACATGGCAAAATATCAGTGGGAAAATGCCTGGGCCTTAAATATACAATGAGCCTTTCCCCACCCATTACCACCTAACTGATAAGCTGCTCCAGGCTATCTTGTTTATGTTTATGATTCTTTAATACCTCGTAGCATTTGCGTTTGCCTTGAAGCTACAGGCAGCTATGTGCTGTAGCGTGCTGAATTTTCATGCTGTAAGTACAAACAGATGTTTGAAGATCTGCTTTGAAGCAAATCTATGCCCTCTACATTCTCTCCCAAGACTCCTCAGGAACAGCATGCATCACTGTATTCAGAGGAAAGCTTTGAAGGGCAGTGAGAGAGGAGACACATAGAAATAGTTAGCAGTGGAACAGGAGCACAGTCACATTTCTATTGCATAAATCCTTCACAGCAACGCTTCAGACAGCAGTGTGCATTAAAAAATTTGCAGGGCCTCATTCCTACAAAGCAGCTGCTGCTGTATGCACATCTTGCCTAGCCTAAGTCACTAGCTAGATCCTTGTTGCCCTCAAGGGCTATTTCCTGCAGCCTAAATAATTTCCCTGATACCAAAAATCTCAGGGTAAGCAGAAGTAGTACAACCTGAGCAATGTGCACAGATGGCTCTTGCTCACTTCCACTGCTTCTGCCAGCTGCTCTTAGGCGTGGAAAAGCTTCAGGAGGCGGACTCAAGTGGCATTAAGTAATTTGACTCTCTCAAAAACTCAATTTAGAGTCAAAACCTGTAAGACACCCCATGATACTTCATGTTGCATGCAAAATAATGGAGAAGCTTAAGCAGCTTCTGCCTCAGGCAGCTCCCAGTTTATGTCAGAACACAACAGAAAGGCTGAGAGGGAAAGGTAAGATGGCAGTGGTGAAAGCAGCCAAGATTGTGCGGTGATTGCTGTGTGGGAGGTTGCAGCTAGGACTCTCAAATGACTCAAACCACTGTGGTATGGTTTTGGTTTTATTTCTTCTTTTCTCACATTTTGAAGGAGAAGAGGGTGTGTCTGGAGGTTCAGATGCTAGCTTGGAACTTGGGTGATCTACATTCAGGTATCTGCCTTGCCAGTGACTCCCTGACCAGTGTATGGTGGTCCCATCCTTCTGCCTTTTGCCCCCCATTTTCCAAGGAAGAATGTGTTTCCATACCCCTGAGGTGTGTGAGGTTAATACCTGTGAGGAATTTAGCTACAGTATGAGAGAGAGTCATATCAGGCCATGAAGTGGTTTGGTCTGCATTCCCTTTTTACCGTAGGCAATGGACAGCAAAGGGGATCCTTCAGAGCACTGTGTGTAGCTGACTTTTAAATGCAAAGCAGTGTTTGACCTGAGCTGCACAGGGAGCTGATATTGTGCTGTAAATCTCTCTAATTCCCTCTGGAGAATGCTTTTTCTTAATTCTGCTTCATTTCATACCTCTCACATTTCTTGCTTAAACATGAAAACTATTCATGTCTTTATTTACAGAATTCTTTTTCATTTCCTAGTAACCACTCTTTTGTCTTGCCGAGTTCCATTTCATCTGATACAGTTCTTCCTCCTTTCCTCCCTTCCTCCTCCTCATCCATGAGCTTAGGGGATCTCAAAAGGTCCTATCTGGGAGCCTGAAAGCTGCTTGCTGTACCCTTCCTTACCCAGCACCCCTAAAGTGGCCTGAGTGGAGAAAAGAAGACATTCTGGGGGGGACAGCTGACTGCAGGGCCTTCCCCTGAGGATTACACTGTGTACATCAGTACTGTAGTGAACAAATCTTGTCAGAGGTAGTGGCTCCTGCAAGTCATGTACAGCAGATCTCCTTTAAGCAGCAATGAAATTTGTGATGTTTTTGTTTGATATCTGCAACCTCAGGGGAAAGCAAGTGTGACTCTTGCCTTGTGTTTGCAGCTGAAAACTTATTAAGGACAGAAAAGAAGATGCACCTCTATTTTTTTAGTCTTCTGCATGTACAAACAGGATTTTTTCAGTGTAAATTGAGAGGTATAAGGCTCTGTGGGAGATCTCCTTCTAGGAATTTATTTCACGTGGCTGTGAGGTGCTCAGTAATATAGGATGGGGAAAAAAAAAAGAAAGAGGCTCAAATCTCTAGATAACTGAAAAAGTGAAAGTGCCCAGTGAATCAATCCTCACACGAAATCTCCTGTTTCTCCAAAAGAAATGAAACCTTTCCCAGGGATCTGACACCTACTTCTAGTGTTTTGTGTTCTAAAGAGCAGCCAAGTTACTCTAGGAAATATGACCTGCCCAATCATAAGTCAAAACAAATAAATATTCTTGGGTTTTGCCTTTTGCCTGCTCAGTGCCAGTTTTTCTGTGCCTAGAATGAGTCTTTTAATAAATTCACCACGAACATGAAGGCTAGGGAGGCATCTCCCTGGCCCTGTCACCTCCACAGTGGCTGACAAAACACAGAAGAGCTCAGATAGCCAATGATCCCACATCCCAACAGGTTGGCACTCCATTTTTGACCTTGCTAGTTCTCAGTGCAGGGCTTCCTGCTCGATCTTGTCTTTCAAGGAGGGACTGTCCAGTTCCCTTTTAGAAAGGGCAGTTTTTTAAATTGTCCTTGTTTGAAAGAAAACACTGTGTTGGGCAGCAGTGAAAACAGAGAGCTGAATGCAGTCTGGTGTGTGCTGTGCTGATGTCATGAGGCTGGGTCATGAGTCCAGGAAGTTTTGCTCATTTCTGCACTGTGTGGTGGTAAGCTGCTCTGTACATTATTTTTCCTTTACCCTGGAGCTTCCTCTCAGGATCCTGCCAGTAACTTGATCTTGCTTTGATAAACCATCATGCAGACACGATGTGAAACTGTAGTCCTAATGACCTGTGTTATTTAAAAATCAAATGACACTTTCTCAAGAGAAAGTTCTTTAGTTCCAGTGTTTTCCTAAGATAACTATACCAAGGCAGCATATTACCCTCCCCTGTAGTTTCATTTATTGCTCACTTTGTCTAAACTCCTGCATGCCATAGCGCTGCACTATTTTGTCATGTTCCACCCCATCATTTCAAAATAGCTTCTCTGTTTGTTTAAAAGTACAGCACAAGCTTTAAAGACTCGAGGAAAGTGATGCCATATACTTTGTGTAATGATGTACAGCCTGCCTGCTCAATTTCACTGCCTTGTAGCACCAAATTACGAAACTCTTTGCCTCTTCATCTCCCCTGTCTTCTGAGCTAGCAAGAGATAAACAGGAAAAAGGGGAGACACCTTCTGTTTGATATTGTCTGACTCTCAAGTCAGTTCAGGCTCTGATATTAATAACTTCCTGTTTTGCTGTAAGTCTTCTGATAAGTGAAAATTCTCCATGCATGTTGACTTTTCATCCTGAACTCAGGCAACTACATGACTGCTGTATTCCCAGCCCCTAGGCTACAAATTCCAGTTAGATGCTTACCTCCAGGCCAGAATTTTAGAGTTGGAATTCAAATCACTGAAAATTTAGGTGCCTAAATGCACAGTTAGTTGCCAAAATGCAAATGACCTGACTTGTTGACACTGTGTCTTGGGACTTGAGAGGGCAGAATCTATACAAATCTGACTAATTTTATTTAGGAACTCAAGTAAGGATCCTAATCTGAAATGTTGGGCTGTTGTTCATTGCTCAGGATGTGCTCAGAAGCTAGAAACAGAAAAGAGGATCTGCAAAATAATGTGGAGAAAGGTGCATTTGTGTAATATCACTTGTGCAAGATGCTTGTGAAATGTAGTATACCCTGCATTGCGTATTTTTTTCACACATGCTTAAAATAGTAAGGCCTTTTCTTTTCCAACTATGTGTAGCAGGTTGACCCTGGCTGGGTGCCAGGTGCCCACTAAGCCAAGGGGACAGGGGAGACAATAAGATGGAGAGATAAGGCAGTTTTATTACAGGGAAAGAAAAGAAATAAGCGA